CGCGGTGCCCGTCTGCCTGCGAGCAGAGCGGGGGCCGGCGGGGGACAGCCCCGGCGTACGCCGGTGGGATGATGCAAGCGCCGGCTTTGCGGGGACTAGGGCAGATGTGAGTTTTCGGGCTTTAACTCTTCCGTTTGTGGAGGAAAATAGAGGGCTGGAAGCAGAAGTGCTGGAGTTGCTCGTTAGTAAGGTGAAAAGATTTGATACTTTTTGTTGCCTTCAGACGTGGCATTGCTCTTTGCTGATTGCTTTTTGTTTCTGTCATCGATTGTGCTGTGTAAAGGCCTGGTGCGTCTGTGGGTATCGCTTTGAAACGTGCTCTGTAACTTTGTCCACGAGTCGTGAAATGGTCGCTGGTGAAATGGTCGCTGGCGAATTGCTACCGGCTCCAGTGCAGAGTCGTGGTCACAGCTCGGCTTCGCGTTGGGGCTGGCGCTGGGTCTCCCACGTTGGTCCCTCTGTTTGCACTGGCGTAGATGCGTGTCTGGCGGATCTTAATGCACTTTTATTTTTGGATAGTCAACCCCCCTTTGTTTTTGTAAACCGTTTGGTAGACAGACAGGGTGATGAGGAGGCGACACTAAAACGAGCGGTGGAAATTACATTAGCAGGATTGGAGGGGAGCAGGAAGCAAATGTGCTTGGAGGTGTCCCCTGGAAAGAGGGCCCCTGCCGTTGTGTGCGCCGGGATGGCAGAAGTTGCCTGCAGGTATTTCCTAGTGATAAGCAGCTCTCCTTCTTGCTGGCTCTTAGTTTCTTGCTTGGCAGTCTCTGTCAAACAACTGGCTTTGTTTTGCTCCGCTGTATTATCCTTGCTTTTTCTGCAAGGTTGTGGCTTTCAGCTTCAGACACAAAAAGACAGGGCCTAATCCGTGTTGGTAAATTAACAGCAGCAAAGCGCGTTAAAATATCGGGTGCTGGGATTCGGAACGGTGCTGCAGCCCGGTTCCCCGAAACCAGGGATTCGGCCAGTTTCTGCGTGTCACCGCTTGCGTGTCAGAGGGTCAAAACCTGGCGCAGTACGTTGCTTTCTGTAGCTCTGCTATTAAAAGAGGTCTTACTCGTGTGTGGATGGCAGCACGGAGGCCTCTGCTCCTTCGGTGCGAAGCATTTAAGCTGCAGCACATGTAGTGCTTCTGTGTGATGACCACGGTCTGCTGAAATTTGTCATTTTAAACACTGCTCTCCAGCAAAGTTCAGCGCGGATGCTTTGAGGGGAAGAGGTCGCAGTTGCTTCAGCAGTGCCGAGGCTCAAATTTGCCCCTTTGAAGCCCGGGAAACTTAATAAGACCTCCCCCCCGCCCCCAACACGCTGTATGCTCCCGAGAAAGTGCCTCGTGCCAGGCTTCCAATTGCAAAAACCCGGTTTAAATGTCCGCTTCAGGCTGGCGTGAAGGCGGCCGGCTCTCCCGACCCCGTAGGGG